ACTTATGTGTTTATCACTACGTTGCCGCGTTTTTGTTTCTGTGCTTGTGTCGTGACTTGCGTACGACTTCTTTAAAGGGTCACACCCCCTGGGGCGTGAACGGGTCCTAGCGCGCAGACAGCGTACGCAGCCAATGTCTGGCCCACGCATCACCGGGCCCAAAAAGGCAATTCAGTCTCGATTCGTATCATCTTCGCCTTCACACGTGTTCGTCTGCTGCTACCGCCGAACCCAGCGTAGTCTCCAGCCTTCCGTCACGGTCTACCCGGTCGCCCCTCTCGTCGTAACATTAATTCCTCGGCGTACCGGCTCTGATATGCTATTCACCGTACTGTTATATTCCTATAGGAGACTGCGTATAGTTCGTTATCGTATTATCGTTGTATGACAATATCACTACGACAATGGAATGGACCACGTACTCCCCTTTCGTGAGTATAAGTTTCAGGGTTCGACCTTACTTCTCCCTTTTATGACGTATTCATAGTAGCCGGCGTAGGACGCCGTAATTATTGTATTAACTATTGTCGTGTATTTATGTTCTAACGTATTTGACGCGATAACAAGAATTATTGCTGATGTCGTTCCGTGTTGCTCACACCCCCTTCTTTCCCGTCACGCGTAGGAGTCGGGAGGACTTACACATTCCTTGTCAGACGCACGTATTCCCTCGTCAGCGTGTCGGAGTGTTTGAGTTCAGCGTAACAGCGATGTCAGTCGTACTCAGAGGTCATCTTGGAGATGAGGGAACGATTCATAAGCGTCCAGCGTAGCAACCGCATTGATGGAGCGTAGGGATCGGAGTTGTCAGGGACAGTAGGGCCTAATGTCGTACGTGTAATGCCCGTGGCAGGAAGAGCTAGCGAGCATGTAAGTCCCTCAGGTCTGTCAGACCCCCCTTCACGATCACGCCGTGACCGGGCTCACCCCCGTCAGAACCCCGATGCGAGATCGGACGGGCGGGGAGTNCGGCCCACGGGCGCGACATGGTGCATCGGACTGGGGTTCAACGTGTGGGAAACCCACGTTGGGCCTTAGCGATCGAACCTACGCCATGCTCGCCACCCACGTCAAGGTCCTTAGGGTTGCAACGTACTACATGTGACATGGGTTGATACACACCCGCCCTCTTTTCCTTCTTAGCATTCGTACGCTATAACTGGGGTAGTGCCCTCTTTGCCCCATGTGGTTGCATGCATTCTTACCTGCACCGCCTCGTGGCAGGAGCCGAGTGCGGGGACAGCCGTAAAGCACGTCGAAGCATGTGACTCTGCGCAGGTGGGGGAAGGTATGTGGAAGCCCCTCTTGTACCTGATGATGCATGCAAACGGGAATCGGCAGGACACCCCAGAACAACCCGCGGCGTAGGGCTCCCACGGGAAGGGAGGATACAGCGCTACGCAACGGGCTGGGTAGTTACCCTTGTAGCAGCTCGGAAGCTGTTGTCGACGTCCCGCCCGCAACTTCACATGGTACCTGGCCTTAGCTATATGGCGATGCGGAGAGGATCGCGTGATGCCAGCCATGTTCACAGTACAGAATATCGCTTCCTCGTAGTCCCTACAATCAATAAACATCATTATGGTCAACCTAACTCCATCCGTTCTCATATCGTCTTTGCGGTATTAACATTGGATGACGCCGTTATCGTTTCGCTTGGCCAGCGTCGCATAACGTACACAGTTGTAGCCGCAGGGAGCTATTGGCCAATAGTTACCCTACGGCTAAAAAATCTCTCATCTCCGCGCATTTTAGATTGGGTACGGCAGTTACTACCTCCTGCCAGCATTCAATATGACGACGATCAGCGCATGCAAAGGGAATTTAACCAAAGCACTCACGGCCTTGGAAAGCGTAAAAGGTAAGGTCCCGGCATCTATCTTAGAGCCAGTAGACCCACAGCAAACTGGAGGGGATCTCGATGCTATCCAAGCAGCTATTCAAAATTACGTCATGCAGATCACCGCAGCCTTTCGTACAGTGAAGGATAGAAAACAAGCCTTCTTGAATTTTCTCGAAACTTCGGAAAATCAAGAGGCGGACAGCCAGGCTTATGCGGCGTACTCAAAAGAAGCTCGAGTAGACGACATTATAGCCTCTACTGAGGATATGCTCAAGATACTTCACTCTCGCCTCAGCGAGATTGAAGCGCGTGTCGAGGTAAACAGATTGACAGCACCACCACGGGCAATGCAAAACGAACAACAAGAAAATTCGATAGTTGTTCCGACGGCAAATGCCCACACTCGATCATTCATACTACCGCAACGATCCCTCGACACATCTGCCACGCCCTTGTCATATCCCTCCGTAGAGCCTATACCCTTTAACGGATCTTCTAACGGTAATCCCGCATTCCAACCAGTGGTTCAACTAGGCAAGCTGACGTTGGAACCGTTCACCGGGGATATAACACAGTTCAAAAGGTTCTGGTGCGCCTTCGAATTAGCTGTTCATAACGATCCGCATACGTCACCAGTTTACAAATTTTTGTACTTACAAAGCCTATTAAAGGGCGAAGCTCAGATAGTGTTACAAGATCTAGACCCTGATGAATGCAATTACACTGAGTTGGTGAAAGCCCTGAAGAGGCGGTACGATCGTCCTTATAAGACACGTGCCACCCTTCACAGGCAGCTTCAGCAACTTCCTATCTCCCGTAATTCAGGGTCAGACCTTCGTAATACTTGGTTTCGCATTTCAGGTATTCTGCACGGTTTGCGTAAATACGAAGATTTTCGTACAGTTTTACCTCTTCTTGATCTCGTAAAAAGTAAATTTCCATCGGATGTTCAACAGAAATTGCACGATCTCGAATTTCAAACTAATTCAGATTTCGATCTTGACCAGGTCATGAAAAAGCTTGACAATATAATCGCGTCTAAAGAAAAATACGAAGATTCCACTACTCTTACAGATAGCTTTTCAGTTAATACTGCGTATCGACAACGTAGTCCATCACGTTCCTCACGTAGTACACACGAAATATCAAAGTGTTGTTTCTGCGAATCCAAGGAACACACTTCCACACGTTGTCGACTGGAGATACCAATAGTAGCACGGCGAACCATCGTACGATTGTCAGGACTTTGTTGGAGATGTCTGCGGGAAGGCCATTCATCACGATCTTGTCATTATCCTTCTTGTCGTCTGTGTAGAGGAGAACATCATGAACTCCTATGCACTACTTCAAGTCGTGATCGAACTGGTCCTCGTAGAGACTGTCACAGGGAAAGTGATCGTTACAGTCATCGTTCGCCTAGTCGCTATTCATCGCGTAGTCCATCTAGGGAACACAGAAGAGACCGTAGTTCATCATGGAGTGAAAGGTCACGCTCGTACTCCCCTGAGCGTCGAAGCTCATATAAGGGTTACGAGTCAGGTCGGTCGTCTCGATCACAGTCTCCACATCGTGTTAAGTTTAGTTCTCCCGTTAGAGACAATTCGGACAATCGTAGACGAAACGTCTCGCCATATCCGCAGCAAAATCAAGTTCTCGAATCAGATGCAGAGACAAGCCTAGTACTTTCGTGCTATTCCGACGCGAGCCCCTACAACACGGTAAACTCCCAATGTAGTCCAGCGTCGCTCATGTTGTTAAAAGGTAGGGCCCTCAATTGCAATACAGCGCAATATGAGGAAGTTGTCTTGTTCCTCGATTCTGGAGCACAGAAAAGTTTCATAACAACAAGTTCAGCGCAACGTTTAGGGCTTACCGTCATTGACAAACAACACCGCACGTTTATTACCTTTGGTGGTCATTCAACGTCGGAGTTATCAGGCGTAGTCAATCTTACACTCGTAGATCTACAGAATGAAGTGTTTATCGTTGAGCTCACTACGAAGCACACAGTGACCTCAGCGCAGTCTACGCCGTACTTGTCATCAAAGGATATCGACTTTATACAATACCACGGGTTTACTCTACCATCGTGTCGGTCTAAAACGGTTACTCCGGATATCCTCATCGGTATTGATTATCTGTGGGACGTTCTATCACCACAGCCACCCATTTGCCTGCCTTCAGGCATGGTCCTTTGTCATACCCGTTTCGGCACCGTCGTATCAGGAAATTCGATTTTTCGGTCAGGCTTTCACAAAGCCCAACCTCCTTCGAGACAATTGCAATAAATAACCAACAGGACGACAATGACATTCAGCGCTTGTGGTCATTGGACGCGCTCGGCATAGCCGATAACCATGATCCTTCTACTGATACTAAACTAGAAGAATCTCTCATACAAGATTTTAACAAAACATCAGAATTTGTTGACGATATCCTTTACGTTCGGTTTCCTTGGAAACCAGGTCACCACAAACTGGGAGACAACAAGCAGCTAGCGTACTGTCGCTTGTTGAATCAATTCCAGCGCCTTAACCAGTCCCCTGATATCTGGCAGAAATACGTCAAGACAATCGAAGAACACATCACCGCAGGGTTCGTAGAAGACGTCGATGAATACACCTTCGACGACCCACGAGTCTACTACATCCCACATCAGGCGGTTTTCAAAGAATCGTCCTCAACCACTAAATTACGTGTCGTCTTTGACGCATCGTCGAAGCGTAAAGGGGTATGTAGTCTAAACGACTGCCTCTACCAAGGTCCAACACTCTTGCCAGAGTTAGTAGGTATTCTGCTTCGAGCACGTCTTCAGCCATTCTTACTTATAGCAGACGTAGAAAAGGCATTTCATCAGATTCGACTACAGCGTACAGAACGAGATGCTACTCGTTTTCTGTGGCTTAAAAACACGTCAAAACCTCCGTCTCCCTTCAATCTACGTATTCTTCGGTTCACTAGAATACCGTTTGGAGTTAACGCTTCACCCTTCTTACTTGCAGCGGCAATCAAGTTGTATCTCCAACGAGAAGACTCATCGTTAGCCGATGAGATTTCACATAACACATACGTAGATAACGTAATTCTGGGTGCCACATCTAGAAAAGAAGCACTCAGCAAGTATAAGCTTGCTAAAGCCATTTTCAAAAGAATGCACATGAATCTTAGAGAATTCTTGTGCAATTCTTCGCAAGTTAACCAGGCAATAGCAGCACATGATCGTATTCTTAACCCTTCTAATGCTAAACTTTTGGGCATTCGTTGGCTCTATGAGAGAGACGAAATCGCCATCCAAATAAGGATATCGCATGTTCCAGTCCAAAGCAAGCGCACGGCTTTACGTGCCCTAGCCTCCACGTACGACCCCTTGGGATTACTCACCCCATTCTTGGTACCCATAAAGATCTTCATACAGGATCTTTGGATCCAAGATAAGGGTTGGGATACGCCCTTGAGGGAAACAGAAGTACAACGTTGGAAGCAACTATTATCGGACTTGGAACATCCGATTCCACCAATTTGTCGTATCATTTTACCAGCGAAGCTAACAGCTAACAGTTTAGAACTGTGCATATTTGGAGATACCTCTAAGCGTATATACGCATGTTGCGCATATTTAGTCTGTCGTTTACCCGGAGCAATACAATCTAACCTACTTATGGCGAAATCTCACCTTAATAGCCCTAAGCCAATGACTGTACCGCGTACGGAACTTATGGCAATCCTCATCGGTACTCACTTGGCACAGTATCTTGTAAAACATTTGCATCTTTCCTTTAGCGCCATACGCATATTTTCTGATTCATTAATCGCGTTACATTGGGTACACGCGGCGAAACCATACAAGGTTTTCATTCAAAACCGCGTAGATGCCATCCGTCGCATTATTGCAGAGTTTGAAGACCAGAATATTGCGGTTAAGTTCCACTACGTAGCTTCCGGAAATAACCCTGCCGACTGCGCAACTCGCGGTCTGGCGACGAAGGAAGCCAAAAGTCATATTTGGTGGACCGGACCTCAATTTCTCTACGATCCACCAGATCAATGGCCAAACGCAACTATCGACTTTACAATACCGCCGCAAGGCGAAGAGGTGCAATTAAAACAAGAAGAAGTGCACGTGATACGTAATGCCAGTTTCATATCAGTGTTACCCTTTACGGTAACAAACAACTACTACAAACTTCTCCGTATCACGTCATACGTCCTTAAATTTCTACGAAGACAGATTTTTAATCGTGTATCTAATGTTTCACGTAACACTCTAGCTTCAAAACTACCCGCACTTGAAGCAATTACTTCATCTGTCTTTATACAAAAAACGGACATCGATACCGCTGAGATTCTCCTCATACTCGCGCACTATCGCGAAAGTGAAACAGTTCTACAGCGGTTAAAACTCGAAACCTTCAATGCTCGACGAGCACAAGATGATTTAATCCGATGTCCAGCTCGCGTAGGTCCGTTAGACGACGCTCCTGTATTATTAATACCATCACATAGGCTAACTCAGTTAATAATACTACATTACCATCATGATAGCCACCATTCAGGCGTCTATCATGTTATAGCAAATCTCCGTAAACGTTTCTTCATTCCGTCTATACGCAACTGCGTAGCCAAGGTCTTGCGTAACTGTGTCTCTTGTAAAAAAGTTAACGGACACGCGTATAGGTATCCTAATCTGCCACAGTTACCACCAGAACGAGTCACGAGATCCAGGCCCTTTCAAAACATCGGTCTGGACTACTTAGGTCCTATCAACGTGTACAATAGTTGTACCGTCCTTAACAAAACTTGGGTTTGCCTCATTACTTGCATGGCTACTCGCGCAGTACATCTCGAACTCGTTTTGGATAACTCAACACGCGAGTTTTTGCTTGCATTCCGCAGATTCATAGCCCGTAGAGGCACCCCTGATCTCGTATATAGCGATAATTCAACCACGTTCCATGCGGCAGAAAGCGCAATAATGTCAGTACTTTATTCCCCCAAATCATGGGAATCAATTACTGACTACTGCGTAAAACACAAAATCACCTGGAAGTTCATAACACCCCTTTCCCCTTGGAAAGGAGGGTTTTATGAACGGTTGGTCGCTCTCTTCAAAACGGCGTACAAAAAATCTGTTGGACAATCAACTTTATCTCTGAGCCAACTCCAAACAGTGGTAACAGAGATAGAAGCGACCATAAATTCTCGCCCAATAATCCCTTACAGGGAAACTAACGCGTTCGCGTACGTTTTAAGACCAGTAGATTTCCTTTCGCCGACAGTAAACATTCAACTCCCTCCGTTATCATCACAGCCAGACCCAATCCTCGATATTTCGAACAACCTTGCGCATTGGTATAAGGAAACGTTAACGATTCTTGACCAATTCTGGGAAATCTGGCACGCAGAATATCTCAGCGCACTGAGACAACGTCAGCAGGCTCGACTGCAGCAGCGTAAATACTCCACGATTCACCCACAAATCGGGGATATCGTAATTGTAGCGGATGACAAATTACCTAGGGGACATTGGCCATACGGCCTTATCGAAAAATTACACGTCGGTAAAGATCAATCAGTACGGTCCGCAGACGTTCGCATGCCAAATGGCAAAGTTAAAACGAGATCACTAACACAACTATATCCATTAGAATTACGAGCCGCATCAACTACTACTCATAGCGAACCTCTTCACAAAACAATAACCCCACAACGACTCCAACCGCGTAGGCTCGCTAAAACCACTCACAAATTCATTAAAAATGCATAGTTTAATCCAAAAATAGCTAAGGATCTCATTATCCAACTCATTCAATTCATTTTAACATCCTCGGTTCAAAAAATCCAGGCTGAAGCCAATACTCTGCTCCAATAACGCACGTAGCGTTAACCGCTCCGCGCGAGGCGCGCGTCGCGGTTCGGCGCTAAGAACGCAATTTGAATGTGTTCCATCTCATTTCTGGAATATTCTTCGCAGCAATTGCTACTTTCACGTCATTTAACGCTTAATTTCGTCATTTTCATGCCATTTTAAGTTCATCATCCGGTCAATCAATAGTCTACTCAGCATTCATAAGCAATACGCTCTACTTATTCAAGTATAATTCAGATATACACGGATTGTCATTTCGAGGCGTAATACGCTTACTACGTTCAGTATTTTGTGTATTCAATTCGTATTGACTAATCAATGCACAATATTAATGCGTAGTTAAACTATCTCACATAGTATAGCAATATTATGCTAAAGGCAAACGCCTATTCGTATTCATTGACAAAGTGATCAGTAATTGAATCAGTAACTAACGGTAATTAAATTCGTAAACTTTTCGTACCTTTACTTCTTGCATTATCGATTAGTACCTCGATACTATTAGTAAGAACAGTCCGCACTATAGCCTCCGATATTCGTGCTATTAGCATTAACCGTGTAAGCGTACCCGTTTCACAACGGCTTAAGATTCTGTTGCAACTAATCCCACGGATTGTCGCAATAGAATCACTTAATCATCAAAATGACTTACTTTATGAACTTATTTCAGATAAAGAAAAGAAATCTCCGTCAGGCAACTACTTGAATTGCTTCCGATTTAACTTGTATTACCGCGGCGCACATACTAGCTTATGCCATATTGTTATTTTTCTAAAAGCACAGGATTCGTTCTCGCTCCCGAGCCACCTCGAGAAGAGATTCGACCACGGAATACGATCAGTCACAGTCTGTCCTTTGAGGAATACCTAAAATTGTGGTTCCCAGACCCGCCGGAACCGAACCCTCGGGAAGGCCCCCCAAATCTATTCCAGCGTACATCCAGCGTAACCCATACCGCACGAGATTCGTCCCCCTCAGCGCGCCGCCCGGAATTCGGAGCATACGATCGGAGACTCCGCACCAAAGCGTACACAAACAGCGGGGAGCTAAAAGAAGAATTCCGGACGCGCCCGGACGACCCAGTGGCATCCCGCTCACGTTGCTTCTTCTGCAAACAACACCACTATTCCGCACAGTGTCGCAACTTTCCGTACCTTTCCGATAGAATTTACATCCATTCGCGTAGCGGAAAGTGTTTTCGGTGCGGGGGACCACATATCGATAAAAATTGTACTAGTGACGACCAGCGTACCACTTGTAAGTGCTGCAGGGCTAAAGACCATCATACAGCATTCTGTTTGTACAATAAGGACGTCATCCGTGACGTCACGCTCAGAGGCTATTGTAAGCGTATGTCCCACGCCCGCTGGATCGCACACCTCGTCAAGGAGATCGAACGAGAAGAAGAACAATTCGCGTACAATCTGCTGCACCGCGAAGAAAGCCATTGATAAGGTAATCATTTTATTGTTTGGTTATTTTCCTTTGTTTTTTCATTCTCTTAATTCTCTTACCTTATCTTTCTTTATTCATTAACTTGTCGACTACTCACTTATTCTTTCCTTTGCCCAACTTATTAACACTAAAAGACCCTAGGTCTCTAAAACCCTTCCTAACCCTTAACACACACACGTAAAACAAACAATAACAAAACAAACCTCAAATAAACACACAAAAGAAAAAGAAACTCCAACAGTTCCGCGTAACCAAAAGCGTAATAACTTCATCAAATTCACCTCCAACTTAAACATTAAAAAATAACAGTTCTCTTGTCAGCGTAGCACCCGCATCGGTGTAGTCATCACATCGTACTTAATTCAGCGTAGGGCATCAAGCCCACTTGTAGTCTTTTCGTAACTTCAGCGTAGTCCGGGGAGCGGTGGGAGACCGCTTCTTTTTCGCACAACCCGGTCGTTCTCCATTCGCTTTCTTCTTGACGAACCAGGGGTCTCTTTCGGCAATGCGAGGTTAAAATCTCCCCCTCGCACAAAACCAACCCTCAAGTGAGGCAAAACTCACGACGTAGCTAAACCAAGAACCCCTCTATTGTGCGTCGTCATCAACTTCAACAACATCAACTTCAACGCTCAACATCGTCAAGTCCACCTCAACCAACGTCGACAATATCGCCAACAGCCAGCCACTCAACAACGACTACATCGTCCATTGATCTCACTTATGCGTCAATACGTCATAATTATAACTTCACTATTGTATTGTACATTTTCATTTCTTCAACGTAACGTGTCAGAAAAGAATTCTTGGCCCGCCGTCGTTGACTTTCCCTCGAACCCTCCGTAGGTAGTTAGGCCACGTAGGTTTCTCCGGTTAACTAACATGTTTGTATAATTAGTCAGCGTAGTCGCTGTAGGTAACAACGGGTCCCCCTTCCATTACCGCTAGGACCCACTCGCCTCTCGCCGCCCCCAGTGTCGTGACTTGCGT